CAAAGCCCAACATGGCTTCTGAAATGGCGTCGGACAAAAAAAAAATTTCGACAGGCGTGCGAAACACGTGTACGCCGTCACCACCAGAACAAAAGTGATCGCTCGACTATGACAGGTGTCGACGCGATCATCAATTGCGCGGCAATTAATTTCATTGGCCCCCGCGATACGACCATTATTCTCAATTATGATTGGACCCAAAATCTCACGCCTGCGCGCTACTAACTTTGCGCCTGCGCATGACCAAATTAGTTGAATAAATTAACCATTCCAACTAGACCATAATGCCAATTACAATTCAAATAATGTCATCAAATCATAAATAGTCTTTAAGCCCTTCCGGCTACCTCCAATCATTTAATTGATCTTGAATCAATAAATCATAGTATTTCATCGGCACGTCCAGGCCTCGATGATGTAGCAATCCCTCTCTAATGTAGACTCGCCACTCGTTCATCTGTTCTGCAACGAAGGTCCCCTCAGCGCCATACTCTCACGGTCAACGTTCGAAGCTTTACGTGACTCGGTAGATACTCCAGGTTCTATCGAATTCAAATGGGAATTGACGTTCATGCCAATCATCCCTCGATGTCCCTCGTAGTCCAACAAGTCCTCCAATCATTGAGCGTGTGATTTCGTACAAAATTCGAATACAGACAAAATAATCAGTCATACAAAATTAATTCTAAAAAAAAATGACCCTCGTTGAATGGTAGGTTTGACTTCAAGTCTGGTAGCAACCAATCTAAAACCCTAAAAACCACGCGAAGGTCTACAAAAACCATGAGATAATTTGTAACGAAAATAACACGTTACAAGACATAACTATTAATGTAACTTGACTATTGCTAGTAAAAAGTCACAAAAATATTTCTTAATGCAGCTGAATAATTATTAAATAATTATCAGCTGCTCCGGGTCCCCTCCCCCTTTAAGAGAGAACCAAGTCTGATCGTTGAAATTGAGGACAAAGTCAGACCTCGTACTAGTCAGTTGAATAGATTTCTGGATTCAAAACGTCTCTCCGTACGATTGGAATCCTCTTCTGCTTGTCTATCCTAGGAGTTGATAGCTTCCTGAATCCAAAACGTCGCTCAGTGCGATTGGAATCTTCTTCTGCTGGTCTATCATAGGACGATCTTCTCTCTCCCCCAATGAAAATACACTCCAGGGGATGATAACGAACCTCCAATCCACCAAAGTTCACCGAATTATTCTCGTACCCTACAGTAGTCATCGGCAAGAGTGGATCAGGCCCTGCCTTCGAAAACGCACCGCTGCCACCAAAAATGTTAGGTATGAATTCCTGGGTTGTGCTAATTGGAGATAAATCTCCCTACTGTGGGTAGATACTGGAATCCGGTATATTTTGTAACGAGATTTTCTCGTTACGGTAAACTGTTTTACCAACACGAAAACCAATGAGTCAAGAATGGTTAGAGTGAGGGACAGAGAGAGAGAGAGCGACATCTAGCGCCAGCTGAAGAAGCTGAGCGAGAGATGAGAGTGACATCGAATGGTGGTTTAAGAGAACTGCGCGTGAGGTGAACAGACCAATCAAATAATGCCAAGAGGCGTGGTTTGGGTGAAACCATGCTTCTGAACATTATAGAGAGGCTGTCGATACCCTGTCGCCTTATCTAGAAACTCGCCCAGCTGTGTTTGGGGGAAACGGGCCAACGTACTGGCGTTCCAACTGGGCGATTCTAGAGGCGCTATCGACTTAGACTAGGGACCAACGGCTAGGTGAGAGGACTAGCGCCCCCTCGATTGCAGTCGAGCTGATTGGTGGTGGTGGGGTAACGGATGACCCACCGCCGCTGAGATGTTCAGACTAGGGGGAGAAGACCCGAGTAGATTTCGAGACAGTCGTGCCTATCAGTGCCTGTCGGTGACAGGCACTGGAGTCGAGCGGATGTAAATCGTCCGGTCCTCGACGACGGTTGTAAGTGGCATTAGTCCATTATGGATTATGGGGGTCCGTTGTGAGGACAAGGTCCGGAACAGCGAGAGAATGGGACGCTTCGGCGTCCCAAACAGAAGGATCGGATTACTTTGAGGACNCCAAACAGAAGGATCGGATTGCTTTGAGGACGTGGAGTGTTTTAATTCCATGTTCTCAGGGATCCATCACTTCGGACGAAAGAAGTGGTGTTGCCGTGGATGCGTGGGCCGGGAGTTGGGCCGACTTCTGGAGGCCCGATCGCACGTACCTCCACGACGACTACTCTGGGTGTTGGCCCGCGATGATAGTGCTTTTACCGAACATTGAGGTTGAGTTGGTGTGGACACAGGTGGGTGAGAACAAGTCTCCGGATACCTGGGTCGCCTGCCTCTCAGTGTTCGGCGCTCCGAAGAGTGAGAAGGATTCGCAAGTGATGGTCGACTTCTCCAGAGCTGAGCCACTGTAGAAAGGAAAGGAATACGTCCAAGGAATGGAAACATCATCGGCGAAAGATACATGGAGGAATGGCTCCTGGAAGATACGCTTGATCGAAGTCTCTCGGCTGAAAAGACGAGGATCGATCGAGTTAAATACTCCTAGTGTCGTGGAACCAGGGATCCCCAAAAAAGTAATATTTCGATAACTGACTCTGATTAAATTCTGCATAATTAATTAACCCTATGCAAAACCTGCTATTCAATAAATTAATAATCGAATCCGGAAAAATGTCGATTACTTGAAAAATTACTAATTACATGATCAACTTCTACGATTACTCCATTAGTGAGTATTCGATATCATGAGTTTCCTTATTAATGGAGTATTCTATCGTTGCAATCGCATAATTTTCGATTACTTGCTTAATCCATTATTATGGTGAGAGACAAACTTAAATACCTATTTATTTCGCAATCAGGCTGAGAATAATTTCGATTACTCCGTCTAACTTAGCTTTTGTATTGAAAAATGAGTAATTACTCAATTAAATTGTAATTTTTTCCAAAATTCATTCCAATAAATAATTAATTGATAATCAGAGGCAGACAATTCTTGAATAATTAATCAATCCGCCATGAGGATAGGGAAATTATTTAGTATTCAGAAAAATTTTAATCGTGGCTAAAACTTTTCCTCACTACATGATTAATCCGTAATTAATACCGAATATCTTGATTGCATAATCAATCAGGATTTCCAATTATTTAATTTTTTTTTCAATTCCATCAATTATTCCCAACGACTATTTATTTTTATTGACGTGCATACGTCTATGTTTTCGTTTTGAGGGGCATTTTGTGCAAAGGTTTTTATTCGCTAACGCCATCTGTCAGCATACAGAAGAACTAATCGAAATTCTAGAACATTCTCGATTTTTCTAGACTGATTTAGCTTTTATAGAAAATTCAAGGAAATTTGGGAAGTTTCGAGAAATTTCGTGGGAATTCAAGAAGTTTCTAGAAATTTCAAGGGAATCAAGAAGTTTTAAGGATTGACGTAAGCATCTTTTTTACAAGAGTAAATTTTTTTATGGCCAAATGCCATGAAACTTTGGCAAAACGTTATTTGAACTGTTATAAAATGATCGATCTATCGCTCAGCTCTTCGTCATATTGTCGATATCGATTTTTTTGTTTTTTTATATTTTAGTTGATATTGATAATATGACGAAGAGCTAAGCAATAGATCGATCATCTTATAATAGTTCAAATAACGTTTTGTCAAAGTTTTATGGCATTTGTCCATGAAAACATTTACTCTTGTGAAAAACTCCCGCCAAAATTGCTTACGTCAATCCTGAATTCGTATCGTTCTTCTAATTTCCCGAAAATCTACGTAACATAAAGGTATCCACACAAAACTCACGGCTGTATTAGGGATAGAGCCGATCAGGGTTTTCTTCGTGTTTAATGGAATTTGCTAAAAATAAAATATCCAAGCTAAGCAAAACAAGTCCTCTTGAATTGAATGAAAGTAGTTTCTAGAACCTTCGAGAGAATTGAGTTTTTCTAAATTTCAAGGTAATACGAGGAATTTCTAGGGAATTTGAAAGAATCCAATAAGTTATTAGAGAATTGAATTTAAAAACAGGAAAAATTTTCTATTAGGGAAAGATTAGAAGATATCTCAAACAATTTAAGGAAATATGTTTTATTTTCCACAAAAGTGAATACAAAAACAATGACATTTCCCTATTTGTAAATGGAGGTGATTAACTGAAACGACGATTAACTGAAACGACTGCCCCCTCTAAGTCTTCCTCCGACAGTCTGGGGAATTCAGGTAGAGGTCGCATATGAATATCATGTGCGACATCTACGACTTTTAGATAACACCCTCCGACTGTAAATGAAAAAACATTAGATAGAGAAATTCTACTTCCTCTTTACATTCGTTTACATCAGTCGATGAAAAACATAATAGAATAAACGTACTTCCATTCGCCTCCAAGGTACCCCAAAGTCTCATACGACTGCCTCTGGTTAGACCATTGGGTAGTCTCTAAGCAGTATCCTATTAGCCGGAAAAATCCTATTTTCAAACAAAAAAACATATAGAATCGTTTGTAATTCGTTAGCAGGTCATTGTATATTCTTTTTTAATGTTTAAAAGTTAATGAGTATTTTTAATTAATTAATCAAAATAAACCATGAATTTAGCCGACAAAAATTTTCAAAATCAAGTTTTAAAACTTTTTTTTTCAATCAATTGCAAATCGTTCGTAGAATCCGAATCTGTGATTATTATCGTTTGAGAGTGGATATTTTGCTCTTAATAATAGATTTTTCAATACCATATGACGTGGGCTACACGCACAAGATACTAGCCGACAAAAATAAAAATAAATCGATTATTCCAATTTTTTCTTCCTGTGATTAATGGAAAATCGTTTGTAGAATGCAAATGTCTGACTTTTATTGTTTAAGAGTGATTTTTCTCCTTTTTGCAATACTGATTATGCTAATTATGCAAGTCTCTCCCGCCGCCATTTGCTTTTCGAGCTCATATGGATGCAACAGGACTGTGACGAGGATTTGGCATCATCAAAAATCATTTTGGAGTTAATATTCCTCAAAATAATTGCACCTACCGATGGTTGAACCAGTTATTTCAACTCTAGAACTACAATAAGGGATCGGACTCAAAATTCTGAGACCATTACACAATAACATTGGGCAAGACGAAGTGAATAATCTCTTTGATTACATAGAAAGTGGCACTGGATGATATAATGCGAGTGATAGCGGATAGATTTAAATAAATCAAGACCATTGACAAGGAAGTTACAAGTAAGTCCTTTTCTTTTGATAAATAATCTATATTCTAGGTTATCGTTTGAAGTAAACTTTCATTCTACAAGCTCCAATAAGAAATTACTCTCATGCAATGTACAAAATATTATCTTTTGTCCTCCAGGAGTAATTCATTAGCCCTATTGTGATTTATTTTTCAGCAGACCGATCTTACTCCCATGATGATTGTGGCAATAGAACTCCAAGGGAAAAATCATCCAAGAACGAGATGCAGTGAGATGCATGTGTCCAACCATATCCATTGGGTGAAATATTACCTGGAAGAATGGGCAGTATCTTGGATCAAAGTTTAGTTCAAAACATGCTGAGAAGAGCTTTGAGAAAAGGTACTGATGTCTTCAATGAATTTGAGTATCTCCATAGAGCAGAGGTACGTACCAAGTTTCCTTGTTCTTCTGCTTCTTGAAAATATTATGAGGGTATCTAAATCAGAGCTGGGTCAAGTGGTTGATGAGGAGAATAGAAGTCAATCATTTGGACTTCGTTCGACAGAACTGTCCAAGCCCATTTATATCTTTTTTCTCCTAGACCACGTACTTTTAGATGAAAGCAAGAAAGTGACTTGAAGTAGTTGATTGGAAGTGTCCGGAGCTACTAAAATTATAGCTCTTCATATTTTTATTGCATAAATGCACTCATCGACGAGGTATTTCTGATATAATGAGTAGATGATTGTTCACCTCCTTTGGGAGTTATTTGGGGAGAATTCCTTAATATTCCGTCTATATCTTCGAGATGTCTGAGAGAAATTTCCGAACCCCTCTTGTGTAGAATATCATATGATCTACAAAAGAAACTCGAGATGTTTGCACCCACAAGTTTTGGTATTAACTGCTAACACCTCTCGATCTGAATTTTCAAGAATTTTTAAATTATCTGATCATCTTGTGATCGATTCTGCTGGGGAAATACTCCAATAGACATTTGGTTTCCAAAACTTTGATTTCCCTTCAATAATCTTGCAGTTTCTCTCTAGACCACCTATTTCTAGAGATGCTTGCAAAATAACGAAGAGTGGGGCAATAAACACTTGTGAGATTTGTTTTATATTCATTCAGAGACCAATTCATTAATCGAACTCAACCTATACTTATGACAAGGGGGAAAAGGTAAATTTTAGTTTGAAAAAAATACGTAGAGAATGCATTCAGACATCAACGTTTGGAACTAAAATTAGGGCTTTATTAGCATAAATCTCTCTTTCCTACATGGCATTCAAACAGGATTCATGATTATGAGCGATATTTTATTTCTTTTGATAGGATGTCTACAGACAAACATCGGTGCCAGTCCGTTAATGTTCACGCTACTCTGGGCAATTATGCCCCCTACATTTAAATGTTTATGAATTCATGTCTATAAACATGATGTGAATCATTGGACTTTCACTGATCTTATCATCCCGTTTGAATTTTAACCTGGAAAATAATAAAAAAGTATACTTCGCATGATGTAGATGTGTTGATTGATCGAATCTTGAGTGGAAATACGAAAAGAATTTTTCTTCTAGCAACACGAATTAGCAACACTAAATGTTCCTCGAGATTTCTTTCTGGAATTCCGCATTTTCTGTCAACAAATCTATATTCCTCTCAAAGATAGTCTTTTCATAAAATTACAATGAAGAGCATGATATTATGGTTCTTTTTGTAGATGAAAACGGGAATACAAGCAATATGATAATTTATTTTACTATGATACACGAAGCTTTATGAATGTACATAATAATAAAGTTATGGATGTTTTTATAATGTAACTGTAAAAATAGAGCTGCAAGCACGCCGAATGTACTTCTAAAAATATCATTTTATAAAAAAGTACTTCAAACTGATCTAGTTCTCTGCTCATTCTCGTTGTATCCCGGTATCCTATGTATATATCTTTGGAATTTTTATCAATGTATAGAAAATTAACTGCAAACGTGACGTGAAAATTTTTCTAAACTAATAAACTCGTCACAGTCGTTACAGAGGTATCCCACTTTCTGTTCTCCAAAAGAGTCTTCGTCATTGTCATCTACTCTCTGAGAAAATGAATAATTATGATCGTTGAATACATGATTCTCTTGCTCACTATGTCGATGCTTCATTGGTCCACCTTCAACTCTATCAGGACTATCATCACTTGGAGAAGGATCGAAGATTCCCGGTTCAGTTTTGCCTTTCCAATTCTCTCGCGACAACAAATCAGGGTCCTCAACGATTGGCCCAGATAATTCATCATCTCCATGATCTTCTGGGGAACTCATTGAAATTGTTTCAGTTGCCCGTTTAGGAATGCATTTATCTGTGATCTTGGTTGTTCCTTTGGGGCGAAGGGTTTTCCATACGATTCCTGGGAAAGTTTTTCCTTGCACAGTGAATGTCGTTAGCTTGCCTGATACGTTATGAGTTCCTCCAATCACATCTCTCATATGAATTCTCATGAATTTTTCGAGATTGATTCGCTTAGAATAATGTGCAAGAACCTTCCTTTTCAGATCCTGGAAATTTTTTTCATTGTAGCTGGATGATGCGTGTCCAACAAAGAAAGGAACTCCTACAGCCGTCCATTAGACGACTTCGTTTCCAATTCCGATCAGCTTCTCCATAAATTTCGGAACATGGAACGAATTAAGATCCGTCCCTTCATAGTCTAGAAGATAAAAGATACGACATTGAATGCCATTTTTCCCATTCAATATAAATAAGCGTTAAATAAGCTATCATGCTTTATTTTCTTACCGTTGACTGTTCTTCAGCTCAGGTGAATTGAAAAGAGAAACCGATTTTGTCGTAAAGGAAAGGCGACCTAACCTCACAAAAGTCAATTTTTGGAAAAATTACATCACGCGGAACGATCGACCAGGATTTATCATCATACGAATCTTTCTCAATAAACGATTATGATTTTAGGTCAAGACGCAGTTACACAAGATACTTTGTTTAGTTATTGAGGCGATGATATTAATTGGAGTAACCTTAGCACTCAAGCTGAGAACGGGTGAATCAATAAGTCGTGGTTTTTATAGGCGATAAGAAAATTGATCATTATAAGAAAAATATTCACTCTTAAACAACAAATGATTCAGGTTTGCATTCTACAAACGAATTGCCATTAATTACAGGAAGAAAAAATTAGGATAATTTATTTTTTCCTATTTTTGTCGGCTACTGTACTGTCAGTGTGGCCTTACGTTATATGGTATTAGAAAATCGATGATTTATGGCAAAATATTCACTCTTAAACGATAATAGACACAAATTTGAATTCTACAAACGATTTGCAATCGATTGAAAAAAAAAAAGTTGAAAAAATTCATTTTCAAAAATTTTGTCGGCTAAATTCATGGTTTATTTTGATTAATTAATTAAAAAAGACTCATTAACTCTTAAACGTTAAAAGAGGATGTACAATGACCTGCTAACGAATTACAAACAATTCTATATGTTTTTTTGTTTGAAAATAGGATTTTTCCGGCTAATAGGATATTGCTTAGTCTGTATGCACATACATTGACGTGCACCGTCAGTTTCCACATACCGTCTGATACCGAGCCATTCAGGTAAGAGCTCCTCCCAATAGCGTGAATGACAAAAGGATTTTTAATCCACGACTCAAGTACTGGAAAAAAAATTGAACTCATGAACGAATTCTCAAAACATTAACGGAGAAAAAAATCAATAAAAATTACGTGTCAGTTGCGTAATTTGGATGCAACCTAATCATTTCGTCAATTTTTACGGAAATTCGAGGGAAAAAATACAGGGAGTTCATTGAAAAAATACGGAATGTATCGTAATAATCACGGAAAACTTCCGTGGAAATTGACGGAATGATGCCGTGGAGTTTTTCGTGATTTTTACGAAACGTTCCGCCATTTTTCGATGAACGCCCTGCAGTTTTTCCCTGAAATTTCCGTATATTGACGAAATAGCAAGGTCACATCCGGATCACCCGTAATTTTGATGAATTTTTTTTTCTCCGTGCACCCCATCATTTAAACAGTCTTAGCCAGAATAAAATTCTTACCAAAAGGTCCCTTGACGCTTGGCAGGGTACTTAGTATCTCTTCTGAGTAAACTATGGAGTCATGAATTTGGGGATTGTAGGTCCCCTGGGAATGGATTTCTGAAAATGATTCAAGGTGGAACGCGAGTGTTGACTCGCCACCACCATTTGTAATGGGAGTCACTTTGATTGAACCTCGTGTAATCGTTACATTCTGGAAGAAAATCCAATTATTAAAACAGTTAAGGATTACAAAATGGAATATATTATCACGAAGATACCTTGTATAGCGTAATATGAGATTCCCACAACATTATCGGCTTTTCCCAAACGTACACCTCAATTTTCATCCCCTTTGTATTGTCAATTCGAAAGATAAGGGCTGTTTTTTTCTCGTTCCTAAACCATTTACGCCCTTGGATGTGATCGATATAGCCGGTTAGAGAACTGTAAAGAAAAATTGACCATGATTAGCTGTGTCACCGATAGGTTTGAAGCTTAAATGAATAAAAAAAAGAAGAAATTTCATTCATAAAAATCATCTCCATGAGTTACCGTGAAAGAAAGACAGATAATAACAAATCGTTCGATAATTGATGATTGTGAGAAATTTCAATTACATTATGAAGAATCATTGGAATAAGCTACGGATTAGGTACTTGAAGAATGAGTTAATAAAATTCTCCCTTGGAAATGAAGTAAAATAAATTGCGAGATGATCGAATGAATACACTATAAAGAAAATCAATAAAAAGTCTAGCAAATTCACTGGAAAATTCTATGGGAATTCTATAGGAATTCAATGGAATTCCTTTGAGATGTATATTAGATTTCTATTTAAAAATTGTATTTGTTTTTGCACCGATTCTATTAGATATTTGAAATACAAAAGTCAAGAGATTTGGAATTTTTTATATTGAAATTATTGTTCACAAATTTTCTAATCGTCTTTGACTGTATTTTGTTTAGTTCAATATTATGCAGAGATTATTCGACCGTAAATTTTTAAATGAAGAGAAGTTTTTTTTCCTCATGACCACAAGGGTCAAAAAAAACCTTCCCTTCAATTTGTTTAGTTTTGCATTATGGAATCCGAATGGAAGAAAAGCTGAGAAGAGCGGTGCTCAATAATTTGAATGGAAAAAATCTCAAGAGAGAAACTCGAACAGAAATTCGAAATTTATTGACTTTTTTCTTGCTGATATCCAATAGAATCGGCGCAATGAAAAGAATAAGATTTTTTAGTAAAATTCCGATAGAAATCATGTAGAATGCCTGTAGAATGTCTATAATATGTCTGTAATATGATTTTCTAGCAAATTCGCTACGTTTCTATTGATTTTTTTTCTCATACTAATGATTTTACACTCAAAATAAGGGATGCTGCAAAGTGAAGAAAAAAAATGGCGGAAGGTGAGTATTCAAATTCATGGCAGAGAAGATTAAAAATTGAAAAATAAAAAGCACTTACACGTTTGTGTTACCAGCACTTAAACACTCGAATACAATATTTTTTGAATAATTAATCATCGTTCTTTCTATAACCACTGATGATCGCACTCAAAAATTTAGCGAATCGACTTGTCGTGAATCGTCTGTTCTTGTTTCGACGTGACTATCTTCTCACGATGTCTCAATGCCTAGATATAGGTAAGACTGGTGGGGGATTATATTATAGTCGATCAAAAACAAACGATGACATTCTTAAATTCCGCGAAAAACACAATCGATTGACTGGCAAATGCCAGAGGAATTCTGAACTCGTGCCCATCCGGACACCCGCGGTGTAACATTTCAGTGAACTGAAGTGCCACAGTGCCTTCGCAAGTGCCCTCGTGAATAGCTATCGGTGTTAGTTAGGTGAGTACTATCATTATACCATTTTGATATTTATCCAGGATTTCGTGGTCATTAAGGGGGCACATGATATTCTCATGATTTTTGTTTACGAATGAATACATTGGAATCGTCCAACTTCTAGTTATGAATTTTATTTGTTTGTAGAACAATTGAGACAATGGCGGGAAATCCACGTAACCCAGATGAAATCGGCCATATACTTGCACTTTTGAATCTGCATAATGCCGATGGAGCGGGAAATCTCGAAGCGGAATGTAACAGATGTCCGTACTTGGATGGGACATGGTTCATACCTAATATTGATAAATCATCAATCAACGGGACCATCTTTGCCGCGTGCAGGAAGTGTCAGCATGAACACAGAGAGACAGTGATTGTTGGTACATTAAAATTTGCATCTAACTACGCGAGACACTTGCAGGTGAGATGAATTGACGCTATTTTCTGTTGAAATGTTCAATCGAAAATATTTCGCAAAGAAAATCGATAGTATTTTATTTTTCTGTTGGAATTCTTCGGCTTGAATTCTGAAAGTATCTTTCAGCGATTTTCAAATTGATAAGAGAAGAAGAAAATCAAAAAACAACTCAGAAAATTCGAGCCGAGGGGATTCAATTGACTTTTTCTATATAATGTTCTCAATTGAATATTTCAATACAAAACGACAAAAACTTATTGAAAGTTCAAAAGAAATCCAATAGAATTTTCTAGTGAATTCGCCAAGTATCTCATTTGAATTT